TGGAAAAATCAAAACTATTTTGGATTCCCACTTCATCTTCCAAATCACCCAGCATATTCCTCCCCTGTCTCTGGCCTCTGCTTGTCTCTTACCCAGTCTTTATATATCTACTACATCCAGGCTTTCTCTTCTCAGCTCTCATGCACCTGGTTGTAGCTCTTGGGTTTTCTAACCATGGCTCTTTAATCCGTCGAGTAACGAGCTCTTGGAACTCGGAGACTCATACAATGAGGGCTATTTTCTGGCTAACCCTGTGGCACACTACCATTTCTTATGCCCTTACAAAGCTATTTTATATCCATTTGTGACAGCGATCAAAGGAAGGAGGAGGTGTATGTATTACAGATGGTCTGTGAGAACATTTTCCAGCCACCGAAGATCCTGTAATTAAGTCACACGGTGGCCAATCTGATGAGAAATGTAGAGACAGAACATTGAGGGGATACATCAACAATTACAATACTTTTTATTGATTTTTTTTTGCTTAGGTGGCGTGTGTGTGTGTGTGTGTGTGTGTGTGTGTGTGTGTGTGTGTGTGTGTGTTCACGTATTCACCTGTGCCCACAGAGGTCAGAGACAGCACCACATTCCCTGGAACAGGATTAACCTATGGTTGTGAGCCCATGTGACATAGGTGCTGGGGACCAAACTCCATTCCTTTGCAAGAGCAGTATGTGCTCTTACCTGCTGAGTCATCTCTGCCACTCTGCAATGCTTTAAATAAGCAGAATTAACAGTACTTGCCATATTAGGACCTAATCTCAATACGATTTTTCTGCTGATAGAAGAGTGTATTAGAAACTTAATTGCTTCAACACTGAATGTGGGGGCTGGTGAGATAGTTCAGTGGCCACTGGCATTTACTGGAAAGCTTGTTGACCTGATTTCCATCCCTGGGACCCGCATGGTGGAACGACATAGCTAAACTTTGCAAATCATCCTCTGGCCTCTGTGGCAAGTGCATCTCCTCCCAGTAAAGAAGTAGTTGCACAGATATTAACTAAATACATGCACATGATAAAATACCTTTTAAAAACTGAATGTTGATTCAAATGACTTTAGGATATGTCTTCTTTGTCTCCTGTGACAATGACTTACTTAAGTAATGTGTCCTTCCTCTCATATGAGGATCCCAGGTCCCACACAGGCAGAGGCAGAAAATGGAGCAGTCATTGCCAGGCGCTGAGGAGCAGGCAACAGGACCCGAGTTTTATGACTACTAAGTGTGAGTGGACGAGGATGAAAAGATTCTGAAGTGAAATAGTAACGGCTGCCCACACGGGGGGGTTCGTGCTCAGTGACAGGCATGGTAAAGATGGTAAAATTTACATATATTTAAGCGCAGTAAGTGATTTGTAGAAAACAGTTTTGCTGTGGTGGTTTGAACGAAAATGACCCCATAGGCTCATAGGGACTGGCGTTGGGCAGTGTGTCACTGAGAGAAGTGTGTAACTGTGGGCGGGTTTTAGGTCTCAGAAGCTAAAGCCAGGCCTATTGTGGCTGTTTCTTCCTGCTTCCTTCTCATCCAGATGTAGACCTCTCAGCTCTTCTCAGTATCATGTCTGCCTGCCTGCCACCAAGGCAATAATGAACTAAACCTCTGAACTGTAAGTCAGCCTCAATTCAATGCTTTCCTTTATAAGAGTTGCGGGGGTGATGGTGTCTCATCACAGCAATAAAATCCTAGCAAAGACTATTATTATTGTTATTATTATTGTTGTTGCTATTATTATTAGAGATGGGGATCTTTCTATGTAGCACTGACTGTCCCAGAACTTCTTATGTAGACCAGGCTGGCCTTGAACTGATAAAGATTGCCTGACTCTGACTCTAGACTGCTGGAATTAAAGGCATGTGCCACCATGCCAGGTGTTTTTTGTTTGATTTGTTTTGTTTTGTGTTTGGACACAGTCATTTTAGGAGTTATAGACGTGAAGAATGAAATGCAATAATGCAAAACTTACTCTGAGGGAATTCCTTTTAGAAAAGGCAATGTGCAGCTGGGGATGTCCACAGGGACAATGCCCCTGTACTCGTCTTCAAAGAGACGTCAAAAAGTCTACAGTTGTTTGTAGTTTAGCCATCTTGTCCCAGACATGATTGTAGTCCTAGAAAATTTGCTTTTTGGAGGTATAGGTCTGTTCTCAAAGGCCAAAGAGATGGCTCAGTGGTTAAGAGCACACACTGCTCTTGCAGAGGTTCTGAGTTTGATTTGCAGCCCATGGTGGCCTATGATTCCTGTTCCAGGAGATTCAACATCCTCTTCTGACCACCAAGGACACCTGTCCTTGTGTGGCCTGCTCACACACACACACACACACACACACACACACACACCACACACTCACTTGTATACATAGTTAAACTTAGAGAAAGGTCTGCTCTCAATTACTGGAAAATAATACCTTCCCAGAAACACTTCTGGAGCCATCTGCCTGGGAAAGAGGATGGTTGGGGGCAGATTCACAACCCTACACCTGCCAGCCACCCCCCATCACCTACTATTCTTGAATAGAAACACAAAGCACCACTCATCACCACTCTATGAAGAAAACAAACAGAGGCATTTCACTGTGCCAATATCCACGCCAGTGCCAGCGGGTGTGTTTGGCTAATAATATCTGTGCAGCCAACAAATGCCACGTACTGCAAAAGTGGAAGCCTCTGGAAAGTCTCCAATGAAATAAAACTTCATACAAGACTTCACACTTGCAGATTTGGAGAACTTTCATTTTGAAGCCTACCTCTGGCAAAGTGTCAGGTTCATTTATTACGGTTGGGGAATAATAACGTGCAAACAATAGTTCAAAACTGTCAGTAAATTCTTCTCAAAGTTGAACTGTTTCTGGTGTTTCAGGTATAAGGTTAGACTAGCAGGTATCATTAAAGCATGAATCACAGACTGAATCATGAGTAACTCTGACAGCACCACACTGCACTTTAGATCCTACTGGGTGAAGGGTAGGCAGAAAAGTCTCAGTTCTACAGCAGTGTGCCAATGGGCTCCAGTGGAAACTCACTGCTTCCCCAGAACCCCTACCAGGCTGCAGCTTACCTACCTGCCCCAGGGATTATGCCTGCTCATTCATTCTCTGGACCTTCCTTCCTGAGAACCTCTCAGGGTCAAGCAGGACGCTCCAATGATTTCCTTATCTTCCCACTTTACCTGGGTCCCAGTGGTGTAGACAGTCAGCAGAAAACATACAATTACCTATCCACATGAAGGAATAATAGCCCAGGTCTTAGGATCTATACTACAGCTGCATATGACTTTTGTGGAAAGCTGAACAGCAGCCACCAACATTAAAAGCTGCTTCTCAAAGAACATGATGCGCTTTTCACAGAATTGGTCGCAAGTTATGAGACAGGAGAAGCAATGTTCTGTTTTACACTGTTTCAGACCGCTCCACGGCCTAGGTGCTTGGGACAGGAACCTGTTAGGTCTTACTGGTTTTCTGTCCTTCAGTTTGTGTGACAAATAGTAGTTAAATCCCAGTACATAAAGAATAACCTACTACCTCCCCTTCATAGTTGACAAACAGTATCATTGTCGGCCCTTGTGCTTCCAAATGAGGCACGTGTCCACTGACAGACAAGCTCCACCCTTGGAAATTAAAATAACTGGAACTGGGGCTGGCAAGAGGGCTCAGCCGACAAAAGCAATTGCAGCCAGGCCTGAGAATGTGAGTTCAGTCCCTGGCATCTGCATGATGAAATGAGATAACCAGTTGCAGCAAAGTGTCCTCTGACTTCCACAGTGTCACAAGTGTGTGCTCCTTGCTCCCTATAAATACAATAAAATGGATCACACTTTTCCTTTTCAAATGTGTGCAGAGTAATAATGAAAATATGAGCTTGCTATGGTGGCACACACCTCTAATCCCAGCCCTCAGGAGGCACAGACTCAGGAGGCCGGCCTGATCTACAGAGTGAGTTCCAGGACAGCCAGAAAGAAAGAAGAGAGCATATGGATGTAAGCTTTTAAAAGAAGAATTTAAAACAAGCCATCAAGCATAATGTTTAAACTAGTTTGTCTGTTTTAAAGTTTACATGCTATTTTTAATGTTATTGTATGTTTAAAAAAAAACGAAGCTAAAAGTTCCTGAAATTTAATTGGGAAAAAAATGTAAAGCGCTTTGATGGATCCCCCCCCCCATGATTTGTTCGATTTTTTTTAAAACAGATGGTTCAAATGCTCAAAGCAATGGAAATGTAGAAATGAAAAGCAGAACCTTAAGGAGTTCTCAGAAATCCTACTGAGGGCGCGGGATGGGCTCGAACAGACGCCTCTCTTGCTGGTTGCCAGGGTGGCAAGAGAAATCACGTTTGCTAGGTTAACCTCTGCTGCCTTTGCAGAAATTCTTACTTTTATTTTATTTTTACAGGGTTTTGTTGTGTAGTTCATGTTGACTTTGAACTCTCAATCTTCTTGCTTCAGCCTCTTGAATGCGGGTGTTGGTTCACCACTGCTACCAAAGAAAAAATTAACTATTCCTTTGAAAAGCAGGTCAACACAACCCATAGAGAATCTCCCGGCTTGTAGGCCTGCCACCAGGGTGTCAATTTAGACACTAAAATTGGGGTGCAAAAATATGTAAATTAAAAATCCTTCCCATCTTCTTACATACTGGGGGGTGGGAACACCCAAGTCACCTCACTGCTGATCAAGTCAGAACACACTTTTCACCTCGAAAGTTTGGGCAGTGAAACCTAAGTGAATCCTGGAAGCGGCAGGGAGGTCCAGCAGGCTTGAGGATACTGACTTCATCCTGAGTTAACCTGGGAGTCTCTCCTGGGAGGGACGCTGGGGGTTGGAGATAGTTTGGGGCGCACAGGGCCGGGCGATCGCAGTGGGCCTGGAGGGGAGCAGGTCGCGCAAGTCGGGCGCCGGGAGCGAAGTGCGCACGGCGGGCACCGGGCGGGGACCGGGCGGGGACAGCGAGGGGCGGGGAGCGCGGAGGAGGGTCGGCCCCGGAGCTTCAGCCCGGCCCGCGTGCACTCGGCACAGGCACAGGGGGCGGGTTTCCCTGCGGGCCCGAGTCGCCGCGGGCGGCTAAGTGCACGCCACTGTCCCCACGGCACAGGAGGCTGTGCTCCGCGGCGCAGCCAGCAGCCTCGCCAGCCCCACGCTGCGAGCGAGCGACGATGCACCCCGGCGTCAGCGCCCTGAGCCTCCGCCCGGCCTCAGGGCAGCTGCACTGAGCCCGGCGCGCGGGGCCCGGTCCTCCGCGCTCCCCCGCGCTCCGCCGCGTTCGCAGTGTCCCCGTGCCCGCCGCTCCCGCGGCCCCCGCGCCTGGGCCATGGGGCTGCCCACTCTGGAGTTCAGCGACTCGTACTTGGACAGCCCGGATTTCAGGGAGAGACTTCAGTGTCACGAGATCGAGCTGGAGAGAACCAACAAGTTCATCAAAGAGCTGCTGAAGGATGGCTCCCTGCTCATCGGGGCGCTGAGGAGTGAGTGGCGGGCCCCGGGGTGTGCAGGGCCCCCCGCGGGGTGCGGGACCCTGGTTGGGAAGCCCAGACCGAGCTTCTTTTGTTTGAATGGATTGGGGACAAAAGCTGAAGGGCTCCCCTGCTGGTGGCCAACAATGTCTGTTCTGAGTGGTTCCGATTTACTGCCCCGGCCCCCAGACAACCCTCCGGAGTAAACTTTTGTAGTTTGTAGCTAAAAAGATGTTGGGAACTTTCACTTTTGGTTATTGTTGTCAGGGTTTCGGTGCCTGATTGTGTTTTGCTCTGTTTTTATTCATTTGTTGTTGTTGTCGGCACGTCTGCACTGGCGAGGATGAGGCAGGAGGGACGTTAGGGGTTTGAGGCTAGTCTGAATTAAGAATGAAATAACACGTCAGGCAGGGCGACAGAGTGAGATCCTGTCTCAAAACAAACAAACAAACAAACAAACAAGCAAAAAACCTCTTGGGGATCAAGAGCCTGGTTTTCAGAATTAAAATGAAGGTAGAGAACTCTATAATATAAAAAAAAAAACACATACAACAGAGTCTTGATTTGACTTTTTAAAAATCTGCAGTTTGGCCACTGATAAGCTGTTTGGACGCAGCACAGTACCGGTGGATTTTATAACCTTACAGTTTTCTGTGAGTACTGGGTTTTGGCCGGCATCGTGTGTGGTGTTGGTCATTGGTGAGAGCTCGGGTCTGAGTTCAATCCAACATCTGATGGATGTCAGTATCTGGATTCCACCTCGTTTCCCACACCCCTCCCAACAGGATACTCTTTCCTCTTTTCTTCTCCAGAACTTCCCCTTCGATTATTGCAAATTAAAAAAGTCTCTCAAGCCAGAATTTCTCATACTGAGAACCAAGTGCTTAACCACCGCCTTTGCCAGGCCTGTTTGTGTCTTAAATAGAAGCTTGGGAAGGTTTCAGCTTCTGAGGCGAAAGTCTTGGGTCTCTGGCGTCTGGTGAGGGCACTAGGGTTGGCTGGAGAGGCCTCTGGATGATTTGGTGATCCCCAGGACTTTCAGGGGTGCTGTCAGTGCACAGGTGGAGTGCAAGTCTGTATGACTAGGGTTTGTGTATGCTTGCAACAGACTCGGCATGTGACCTACACTTTGAACACTGTATTACTAGCAAGGATTTCTCTTAGATGTCTTGAAATTAATGCCTTCCAGATCCCTTTTGGTTTTGGCCATACCCAGGGCCCAAATATTTATGCACCACTTGTGTTATTTATCCGGAATAAAGAAAATGTGTTTATGTCCATTGTCGGTGAATCTGAATCTGAGACTATGATAATGATTATTTACATGGTTTGTGAAGACCGGGCTTCTGTGCAGTTCTTTGAGCAGCTGTCTACACAGATGTGAACTCCCTTTCTATCTGGTTTGAAATCTTGGTTAGGGTCTCAGAACCTACCTCACTAGTACCAGGGAGCATGATGTCTCCTCAGAAGGGCCATCCGTTTCACAGTGTGCCATGCCAGGCTGACTCACACTTGGGGGGGGGGAGCCAATCTACATTTGGCGTTTCATGCGTTGAAAATGTTTCCTGACATGTGTTCTGTTTCACTGGTGATATTGCACACTTTCTCGGGATTCTTCAGTCTAGCTGTGTTTCTTGACCCTCTCTAGGGCTGTTCTCCAATATGACCCTGAGGGCGTGTTGAGGGTGTGAAGTCCTGGAGGGCACCGGAGATGCCCAACCTTTTGATACTGAGTTCTGAAAATACACTGGTCTGCATTCACAGCTATCTTGGGAAGAATGTGGCCTCTGGGCGGGACCCAGGTTAGACACACTGAGACCCTGCCTCCTGAATTCGGCCTTAGGCCCTTGAATGTATAAACCTGCTGTAGTTCTGTAATGCTTTAACTAACACACACTTGTTACTCTTTCCATTGTGGAAGAAACTTTTATTTCTCATTAAGTGAATTCCCGGGGTGGTGCCTTGCGTGGGACCCTGACCACCTGCTTCCACACGCTGGGACCACACACAGTGGAAGAAGAGTCCCAGAAGTCACTTCATTTGATCATGGGCCTGCCAACACACACACACACACACACACACACACACACACACACGGGCATACAGGCACACACCTGTATCAGCTGTCAAATATGCTTGAAGAGACAGGAGAGTGATGCTTTTGGCTCACCAATACACTTCTGTTCCCTGAGGATGACACTCCAGGCCAGGCTGCAGCTTTAGATGGCCGCCCTCCGAAGCTGCTAGGGTAGTGCCTGTCTGAAGGTTTGAAGTTGCCTTAGTGCTTTCCCAGGCCCACCAAGGGAGCCCTGTTCCAGTTTGGCCCTCCTGACTCTTTTCCTACCTATCTGAGGAGGTCTTCAACTAACCCTATGACCTGTTTAAGTAAAGACAACAGTGTCTGATTTCTGTTCTTAATGATGTGGTAAATTTTTCTGCATGTGTTCCTCTGTGTTTGCTTGATGCAGGGCATCTTATGAAGCCCAGACTGGCCTTGAGCTCCCTGTCTTCCTGTCTCTACCTCTTGAGTCCCAGGATTATTGGCACACGGCACTACACTCATTGTGTATGCTCCCTTATGGTTTATATGTACATGCCTGTCCCAATAAAACTATGCATGTCTCTTGACCCAGGATTCTTTAGCTGGTTGTATGGAAGATTGATTATATCTTGAATTAGATAGTTTTATCTTGTGGGTTTGTTGTGATTGGTATTGTTCCTTTATATTTCGAGACAAGGTCTTACTATGTAGTTCACACAGCCTTGAACTTGAAATCCAGCTACTTCAGCTTCCTGAGTTTTGGAATCACAGCATTGCATTGCCACAATGAGTTGAACCAGATTTAAACTTCATTTTATGCATGTGAGTGTTTGCCTGCATGTATGTCTGCAGCGTATGTATGCAGTGTCTGCAGAGGCAAAAGACAGTGTCAGATATCTGGGCTGAAGTTATAGATAGTTGTGAGCCACCATGTAGATTCTGGGAATCAAACTCATGTCCTCGGGAAGAGAAGCTAGTGTTTCTGTTTTTACTTGTTGATTTATTTACTTATTTACTTGTTTGTTTATTAGATGAGGGCCCCTATGTTGCCCAGGATAGTTTTGAACACCTCAGCTCATTTGCTTTTCTTGTCTTCAGTTTCCAGAGTTGTTGGTCTGACAGACTCACATGATTCTGCTTTAAATGACCCAGTTCCGTTTTCGTGCTCACTCTAAGGAAGAGGGTGACAGCTTAGCATACTCATCTTGACTTGAGTTCAAATTCCAAGTGTGATAGCTGGCAAGTAGCTACAAACATTACGCCTAGGGTTATTGACGTATAGAAGTGGTATCTGACATTGTTCTTGATAACAGTGACTCAAGTTTGGTTCCAGCGTGTGACTCAAAGCTCCACCCTTATCAAATAGTATGTTATGTGGACTTTACTCCTTTATCAGATGCTAGCCTTAAAGTTAAATCACAGGTTTTTACTGATTTTTTTCTTTCTAGCAATCGTCTGTGGTAAAATATTTCAGTATTATTCTCTCATTCTTTCCCGTGTGCTTGCATGACTTTTATTTATTATTTTTTGGTCTATACTTTGTATTTACAGAATCCTTGAGAGAAACATGAGCTTTGTTCTTGAAGTAGATTGCAAAAAAGAGAAGTGGGGTGATGGTAGGGAGAGAATAGGTTTAAAAGTAACCGAGATTTCAACGTTGTAACTGTAAAGGATGAGGTGATGCAGAGGTTACCCAACTTAGCCATTCTGCAGTTATACATGTGTCAGAATGTAACTTTATGTGCCACACGTATGTGCATTTTTGTCAGTTTTTATTTGCGTGTGTGTGTGTGTGTGTGTGTGTGTGAGAGAGAGAGAGAGAGAGAGAGAGAGAGAGAGAGAGAGAGAGAGAGAGAGAGAGAGAGAGAGAGAGCACACATACATGCACAGGGCAGAGGACAAGCTCAGGTTGTCATTTATGTTTTGTTGTTCAACCTGTTTTCAGAATGAGGGTCTATCACTGGCCTGGAACTCACCGAGTAGATGTGGCTGTCTGTCCATGAAGCTCCTGGGGTCCTTCTATCTGTCCATCAGTGCTGTGATTTGAACAAACATGACCACACACACTTTGTTTTTAAATTTTTATTGTGGGTTCTGCAGAGGGATCCCTGGTCTTCAGGCTTGCATGGTAAGCATGTTACGGAGTAAGCCGTCTCCCCAGCCAGGGTTTTGTAAATTAAGTCAACTGATAATTCCAATACCTGTTGCCCTCTGTATCTACAGTCAGCAAAAAAAGTGAAAAGAGAAAGACATAACTCTTTACACAGACTTTTCTTCATCATCTTCTTACTGTTCCACTGCTGTGAAGAGACACCATAAGCAAGGCAAGTATTGTAGACAGAAGCGTTTAATTGCAGGCTTACTTACACAGTTTCAGAGGGTAAGATCATTGTCATCCCAGCAGGAAGGAGACAGGCATGGCGCTGGAGCAGTGGCCAAGGGCTTTACATCCTGATCTGCAGGCAGCCGGCAGAGGTGGGGGGCGGGATTAGCACGTGCTCTTGAAACCTCCAAGCCTACTCCCCTCAGTGACGCACCTCCTCCAGCAAGGCCACACCTTCCAATCCTTCCCAGACAGTTCCACACACTGGGGACCAAGCATTTAAACATAGAGCCTGGGGGTTGGCATCCTCAGGCTAGCTGCCACAGTGGTTTCCCCAAGCACTAGGTATTTATGTATACCGTGTTAGGCATTATCAGTGCTCCAGAGACGAGGTAGACTGGGATGTGTATGTGTCCTAAGCCAACACTATGCCCTTTAATAGGTGATGCTCTTGGATTTCAGTGGCTTCAGGGGTCTCGAAACCATCCTGGTGGACACTGAAATAAGATGATACAGGCAGACTAGATAACCCCTCTGTCAGCATTCTTACCTACGGCCTGCTTGGCAGCAACATCTGGACCAGCCTTCCTCTATTCTGGCTTATGCTGGAACTGGCTAGCTATTTGGTTTGCTGTTGAGAGTTTCTTA